CTGGCCTCGGCACCCTCTGCGCCCGCTGTGGGTCGTTCCCGGTCGTGGGGCCATCCTGAGAGCGTGGACGCTGGATGGGCCACCACCGAAGCTGGCCAAGAAAGCCTACGCAGAAGCTCCTCGCTGCAGAATTGAACATTCACGTCGTGCGCGTGGGCGGCACGAGGATGGCGCGTGGAACCGTTCGGGCGCCGGTCCCTTGCAGAGGGCCGTGCCTCGAATTGCTCTTTCGTCACCCGCCCGCCTTTTTATGGCATGGGGTCACGCATCGGGTTTTGTAACTGGCGGCCCCGGTCTCTGTGTGTTTCGCGCGTGTGTGTGTGTGTGTGTTTCGCGTGTGTGTGTGTGTGTGTGTGTGTGTGTGTGTGTGTGTGTGTGTTTCGCGTGTGTGTATATGTGTGTGTGTGTGCTCGTGGCCTGCTCTTCATAACTCTTGCTGTGGCGGCGTATCGGCGGCGCTGCGACTGCCCATGGCAGTTGCACCGAAGTTGCCTGGTAGAAGGTGATCCGCCACGCCACGTTTACAGCTCGTCTTCTCCCTCTGTCTCCTCTCCCTCCGCCTCCTCCTCTTCACCCGCTCGTTGGCGGTCTATTGATATTATTTTCTCGCATCCTCATGTCCTTTGTTTGTTCCTTCGGTTTTCATCCACCCGCCTTCTTTTTATCACGCGTCCTTTTGTTCGCCCTTTCCCTCTTTCTCATGCTCCCGCATCCGTCGCGCCTGATCATATTCGTTTTTTCGTTCCTCGCCCCCCTCTTTCTCCTGCCCTGTTTTTTTGGGCCCTCCCTTCCTATCCCCTGCCCCCTTCCCTCTTCCCCGCTCGCCTTCACTTTTTTCCGCCCCTGCCGCCTTTATCACCTCGTGCTATTCATCCTCCTCCCTCTTCTCCTCCCTCTCCATCCTCCTCCTCTGCCCACTCTCTCTCCCCAGCGCCCCCCCTTGCCCATTCCTCCGCCGCCGCCCCTCCCGGAGCTTGGGGATCCTGCAGGTGCACCCCCCGCCCCTTCCCCCCCTTCCCTCTTTCTGAGCCAGCCTTCGGCTCCGAGGGCGTTTCCTCCAGGAGGGCAGTCTTGCTTCATTATCATCCTCATCGTCCTTCCTTCTCCCTTCTCATCCTCCCCCTCCTCCGTCATCCTCCCTCATTCCCCTCCCTCCTCGTCCCCTTCCTCCCACCACCTCCATCATTTTCCGTCCTCCCTTCCTCCCCGCCATCACTTCTGTTCTCCTACCTCCCTCCCCCTCCTCCGTCCCCGCACCTCATCGTTGGGTGTGTGGCTTTTGCACCCTGATCTCCCTCCTCGTCCTCCTCCCTTTCTTCTTTCCCATTCTTTCTCCAAGCGCAGGGTTTGGAGATGAGAAAGTGCGCGAGCAGTATTGCAGGAGGTTGCATACGCTCTCCTGGTATGACTTAGTCCTCCTCCTGACCCTCGTCCTGACACTCTTCCTCCTGCTTCTCCCCTTCCTCCTCCCTCCTTTGCAAACGCAACAAGGTGCACGTGTGACACAGCAGCTTGATGCAGTGCTATACGGCGGACGAAAAAGCCTGATATCACCATCACTCTTGGACCAGATGTCTGTTGCCGTCAGGTCTCTTGGCGAAGACGATGGACTGGGGTGGACAAGCTTGCCCCCCCCAAGCACGAGTTAATAAGCCACTCCAGGGCCACACGCCATCTCAGCCCTACCCCAAGGAGCACATATCAGGACAACAAAAAACAATACGTGACTGTCACGTTGCGCGCCGAAAACTACTTTGACCATGCTTCCATGCTTCTGCCATATGCGGATCGCTCCCTAGTGAAGCCCCCTATGGCACTTCACCTTTAGCCTCCCGCGTTTCCAAGGAGGGTGCCGACTATCCAGCGAACAGGCGCGCCCGCCCCCGCGCCGTCGTCATCGCCGTTGCTGCCGCCGTCGTTGTCGCCGCCGCCGTCGTCGCTGCCGCCGTCGGTGTCGCCGCCGTCCGCCGCCGCCGTCGTCGCTGCCGCCGTCGGTGCCGCCGCCGTCGGTGTCGCCGCCGCCGGCGTCGCCGCCGTCATCGGAAGAGGAGGGTGACGACGAGGAGAGGATTTCGAAGGGGAAGCCTTGTCCCGCGAATCAACCGCGTCATTGGCCTGTAGCCTTGCGGGGGGTCTGCGCTTCGCGGGCGCAGCACCGCAGCAGAAGCCTGGCGCCAGCAGTGCGTCCCCCTGTTCGAGCAGGTGGAGTAGTGATGATGGTGGTGGTGGTGGTCGTTGTGGTGATGGTGGGGATGATGGTGCTGGTGGTGGTGATGCTGACGGTAATGTCGCTGCAAATGATGATGCTGCTGATCTATCGCTAAGCGGTAGTTGTTCATGCAGGTCACAATGGTGCTTAGGTTGCGCCACCCGCCAGGAGTGGGGCGCTGTTCTTCTCCTCGGGTCGGTTGGCATGGCGTGTGCGCTGACTGGCACCCGATACCTCTGCGGACGTAAGGTCGGTGCACACGCCGACTCGAGGACAAACAAGTGTACATCGAGGTCTCGAGCGCCCGTGCGACCTCAACGCAGTGAGCCAAGCAGCTGTAGAGCGATGACGGCCCACCTCATGGGGGCAGCTGAGGATATGCTAGTGCTGTGTCAACTGTGTCAAGGGGAGGACGCCCAGCACAGGCCTGCGACGAGTCACATTCATTCGCACCTTTTTGGTCAACTCCAGTCTCGTTCAGGTGACCCTGTCTGCGCACGGGGACCAGACCATCACCCTTGGATCCCGGAGGCATGCATGGGCCAGACCGCCAGCGCGTGGAAAAAAGTCAGTCACCAATCAAGTGCGGTGGTGTGTGGCTGTTTGCTGCCAGCAGATCGGCGATGCTGATCAGCTACCATAGCGACGCAGGCACTCACTGGAGTATGTCTATCGCAGCCTGTTTGAAGACCGCGGCAGACACGGACACACATGCCAGCAGCAGCGAGATCCTTAACGGACCGCCAACCAACTAGTTGACACCATCCCAAATGATTGTAGCAGCAACGCCATTGACAGCCCTCTTGACGCGCAGCTCATCGGTGTCAGTTGAGTTAAGCAGCCCGCGCTTTGATGCATTGAATGCAATGTGAAACAAGAGCGCCATGAGTGCACGGAACCAGAATATGATGAGTCCGGCCATGCTCATCACAAGGTCGAGCACTGCCATGTGGGCCTTCTCCTTCTTGCTCTTGGGCACGGCCATGCTGCGGCCCTGCGCTTCGATGGCTTTGTCGATCTCCTCTGGCACCTCTGGGCTGCCCCATCCCTCGTCACCTCCGCGGGCCGCTCCTCTGCCGTGCCCGTGGCGCGCATCACCAGGCTGGCGCGCTGCGCCGCGAATGTGCGCCTGCCGGAGTGGCGAGTGAGAGCCGCGGTGCCCGCGGGCGGCGGCACCTCCTGGCTGGGTGACCAGATCGACTCCCGGCGGGGCCCTGCTCGGCCGCTGCACGGCAGCGAGGGCAGCCGAGTGATGGCGTCGGCGATGACCTGGCCCGTCCCTCCGAAGAGGGGCTCAGTCGCCCAGGGGATCTGTTCTCGGGAACCTCGGCAGGCGACCGGCATCCAGGTCCACCGCCTGCCGAGGCCTCCGAACACGATCCCCAGGCGGTGGCGATGGACAAATCCCCGCCCCGCAGTCCCTGCCTCTCGAACTCCCCTTTGCTTGCATCCGCGCACGGCCTGGCCGGGGCCTCTGGCGTTTGGAGGGCCTCCTCTCCACCTCTCTCAGCAGGCCTCGGGTTCCAGGCGACAGCTGCAGAAGTTGGTTTCCTCCCTCTCACCCGAGCAGCTTCACGGGGGGAGTTTTGGCGCGGAGGCAGGGTGACGTCATGCCGAGGAGGGTTCTCCTTCCGGCAGCCCTCCAGCTGCTGTCCCCGAAGCGCCGACACCGCCCGGAGTGGCCGCCATCCAGCCCGTCGGTAGCAGATCACGGGAGCTTTTCATGTCCTCGCGCAGTTCTGTCTTTAGAGTGCATTCGCGTGCGCTAGCGTCTGGTAATCGATGAGCTAGCGTCGATCAACGTCGATCTTGGGCGTCGACCAGCGTCGGTTAGCGTCGATTAGAGTTTGTCGGCGCCGATTCGCAAGTGCCAGCAAGATGTTATGGGAGGCTCCCATGATCGGGGGAGCGTAAGACTCGATTTCGCCGGAGCTCGGGTTTGCTGGCGTTGTTGGGCGGGCCCATCCTCAACCATTTTGATGGTCCAGTTTTCGTGGAATGCCTTCAGCGGGAGATCGCGTGATAGACTGCAGACTGGGCCGTGGTCGTTTTCCCGGCGGCCCTTTCAAGCCAACCCGAGTCCCCCGAGCCCGAGTCTGAGGCCCCCCCCGACGTGGGCTGCCACCGACCATCCCCTGCCCTGCCGCGCTCGGCAGAGCCCTCTCCGGCAGCAGCGCGGGGCCGCCGCGCAGCCGCCGCGCGGACCCCCTGGCGGTGCGCTGGCGCCGCCGAGGCGCCCTGGTGTCCGCCGCCTGCCGCCGCTTCCCGGCGCCGGCGGCAGCCGCCCACCCGCTTGCCTGGAAGTTCTGGACGCCCGAAATGGGCACGGAAAGAAGGGGTACAATGCCCAACAGCAGCTCCTGCTCATTTGGAACAGGGCTCGCTGTCCGCGCCGCCGCGGCCCGTGTCCACTCGAGGCAGAAGGCCGCCTGTCCAACGTCGGCCGCTGCCGGTTTGGGGCAACACATTTGCTGTTGGGCACTGTGCTCATTTTTTCCGTACCTGCCGCCGATTCCACAGAAAATATAGGAAAATATGGGAAGTGGGGGGAAAATATAGGCAAATAGGGGGAATCTTTTTATGTGTGTGTATTGCTTGTGTGTCCTGGGGCCCCTTCACGGAAGTCGGCACGCCGGGACCCGCGTCGCAGTTCTGGCGCCCCACGCCTCGGAGGTCGGGCCCCGGCCTGCGCTCCGGGGAGGGAGAGGTACACGGTAGGTTCGCGTCGTGTCGACCGGCGGCGACCCCGCCGCCGACGTTCAACGTTGAACGCCGACGGCGGCCCAGAATCGGTCGATGTTGAACGATCGGACGTTGCGGAGACGGCCGATCGTTCAAGGTTGAACGATCCAGCGCGGTGTCAGGAACCAACGCCAGGGTCGACACGGCACGGACCTGCAGTACCCGTGTTCCGCGGCCCCGCTCCTCCCCCGCTGTTCCCCCCTTTTTTTGGGGGGGCCTCCTGGCAGGCCCTCGTCGCCACGGCTGGACTCGCCTCGAGATGCTGGTCAGAGCGCACCCCAGGGAGGAGTGGCTGCCTCAGTGCCTTGTAGAAGTTCCCCATGTGCGGTGCTCCAGGTTTGCCCACCGACCTCTTGATTCGCGATGTGGTTGCGTCCCCTGCGGTGTTTTGCGTGAGACAGAAGCCTTGCAGGTCAGGTCCAGGAGTCCAGTCATCTTTGGAGTGCTTCGGGATGCCTTCTGTTGCTCCATCTCGGAGGTGTTTCGTTGGGTCCTGGATCTTTTCGCCCGACGGGCAGGTCGTCGGAGGCTTCCAGAACCGAGAGATGGGTGGCGCGTGGAGGAGGAGGAGGAGGAGGAGGAGGAGGAGGAGGAGGAGGAGGAGGAGGAGTTTTTAATACGCTGGAGGGCCATTCTCTACCCCACCGCCCGAAGCCGAGGCCAGGGAGGCGGCACAGGTCAGGCGCAAGAAAAATGAGAGGGACGGCCACGTCCCCGCAGCAAGCCTCGGCCTCAGGATGGCGACTCACGCGGAGGCCGCAAGATGCTGCACGTGCAGGCCGCGCGAAGACGCCGAAGCACGCCCACGTCAGGAACGGCGGCGCGACGATCCGGACTGGCCGTACGGACAGAGCCTCGCCTTAGGCAGCACTCCGCACGCCAGCTTGCGCAGCGCCTGCACCCCGTAGTGGCCCAGGTGCTCGCCGAATGGCTGGGCCAGCCCACGAAGAAACACGCGCCCAACGTGTCCGCACTTCAGGCAAGCATGGGTCTTCAGGTCGGGCCAATACCCCAGCAAATGGGACGAGTGGATTTCCACCCCCTGCACGGTGATCTTGCCCTGGCCCACCATCTGGACTCCTTGCAGGACGCCTTTGTGGCATGGCGTGGCAAGAAAAGCCTCCAACCGCGGGCCGCTCGCGCTGCAGCCGCACCCCTTGCAATGGAAGCTCGAGCCCACACGGCCGCTCAGCTCGTGCTCCGACAGCGCCAACTTCACCTTGAAGCCGCGGTGCCCGGCCCTCGTAGGCTTGATGCGGCGCGGCTCCGCCTCCGAGGCCTTCAGGAATGCCATCGTGAGATGTGTGCGCACCGTGGACCCAATCGCTTCGGCCATCTCCAAGCTGGTGACCGTGCTGGAAGGCACCTGGACCCGCGACGCCCAGTCGCCCGCCAGCTCATCCGCGATCTGGTTGGCAGCGTACCAATTCGGTGGCACGCAGCGCGCCTCCGCCACCTCCTGGTCCATGTGGCTCTCGATCTTCACCACGGCCGTCGAGAGCAAGTGAGGCGCACCCTGCAGCGCCTCTTTGATCTTCTGCCACAAATCAATGTTCGTCCTCGGGAGGACGCCCCGGACGATCTTCCCGAACCCCCTCACCACGTAGGAGGAGTCAGTGACGTAGGTGATCCCCGCCCCCAGGCACTGCAGGTCCACCAGTGCAGCCAGGAGCGCCTGGGTCTCTCCGCGGTTGATCGTCTGCCTCGGTCCCGCCAGGCCGCCTCCATGCCCGAAGGGGGACGCAACCGAGGTGAGCTGGTGGACGCCGTCGACGTCGCCGAACTCGCAGTCAACAACCGCATAACCCCATCCAACGCGCCTCAGCTTTGCGTTGGCCGAGTGCTCTCCTCCACTAGCGTCGCCTCCAACCAGCAGCCACCCCCGCCCCTGCAGCGAGGCCGCGTCGCCATACTGGTCCC